GGCAATATAAACATTTTCATTATATAATAAAATCCAACAGATGCTCTTCCCTTTCCAAAACCAATGTGTCTTGAGTTAGCAAAATTCAGCAAGCCACCTCCAAAATCTCCTTCATTGCATTTCTCTCTCTCTCTCTCTCTCTCTCTCTCTCTCTCTTGTTTCAGGATAAAACAGGTGTTCTATAAAAGAACTATCTTGTGCTTACAAAATCCTGTTTAGGATTCTATAACTATTGTTTGGCTTGACCATAAAACAGCACAGCTAAAGCAGACACAGCTGGTCATTAATAACTTACAAAAACTACACATCCATGAGGCCTCCACTGTCATCACTCTGTAATAATTTTACAGCATCAGTGCGATAAATGCTGCATTATTACGCTTCCTCCCTCTGCCAGAGTTTTCTCCTTTGAGTTGGAGAAAGCACGTAGGCATGTTAGCAATCAAATTATTTTCAGCAGTAATATTATTATCAGATTTCATGCACAAAGGGCTACTGTAGAGGCCAGAGGCAATCTTTGGCTTGGGCTTCCTAAACAACTTTGCATTACAAGGCAGCTAGGGGAACAGACCCTCCAAGTGCCCCCTTTTTCCAGGGATGTCGCTGATTTAGAGAAGCCGTCCCAGTTTCTAATTTGATCTGGAATGTCCCACTTTTCCTTAGGATGCCCCTATTTTCATTGGAGAAATGTTGGAGGGTATGGAGCTACCCAACCCCCAAGCCGTCTGAAGGCAATCCTGTATAGCGAAGTTTTTAAAATGTTTAGTGTTTTATTATGTTTTTATATATGTTGGAAGCTGCCCAGAGTGGTTGGGGCAACCCAGTAAGATGTGTGGAGTATAAATAGAAAAATTATCGTTATGGAATGGGATGTCCCTATTTTCATCAAATAAATGTTGGAGGGTATCAGGGGACCCTGCTAGCAGTCAGGTGCAAGAGTTTTAAGGGTGGGTGTATAAAGGGTGTGTGTGTGTGATAAGGGATGAAGAAGTGTGTGAATGAAGGGATATAGATGTACATGTAGCACTGCCTTATATTCAAGCCAATTCAAATAGCCCAGTACCACCTCCTTTGAGTAGCAGTGGTTCTCTGAAGTCTCAGGCAATGGCATTACTACCTGAGATTCAGTAACCCACAATGCCAGAGATAGATCTTGGGAACCTTATATATGTCAGGCATCTGCCACAGGGTTATATGTGCATGGAAAGTCACAGAAGGCAAGGGAGATGGGGCAGATGTGAGAAGTGGCTAATATTTGCAGCCTCACATGCTAACCCCCAAAACTTGTTCAATTTTCTCTGTTTTAACAATCATCCTCAATGTTTTCATATATACATATACATACACACGCACACGAAAATGCATGACTTGCTTACTAAATAAAAGTTGCAGATATACAAGTTTGTCAAAGTTCCTTGTTCAGTCATTAACTTTTCCTCCACGCCCAGCTATGCCGCAGCTTACACTGCAAAGCAGCTTGATATGATTGCACATACGTGATTAGGTAACTTTGACAGATTTTCCCTAGACTGTTTGGTTTCATAATGCATTCTTATGGTCCTCATCATTTGCTGCAATGTACAGATGGTGAAAGCAGAAGTATTTCCAACAAACAAATCACAAGTGAGTGTCGATTGCTTAGCAAAGGTAGGCAATTAAGATGGCCCAAAAATATTGCAGCCCAAAATAACTTCAGCATCATTTTCCCCTGGTAACAAGCATATGGAGTCTAAGCTGGTATTACAGTGTGCATCACTGTAGTCAGTTTTACCAAATGTATACTGAGCAGTAAAAGCAACCTTGGTACATTTAAGATATGCAATAGTGGTGGTGCAAGACATTTTAGTACTTCATGGAGTAAAAAGTATTAGACTATATAGGCTATCATCTTTAAAAACTCACTTGTTTATAAGTAATATATTGATTGTGTTTTTTAGCAAAATGCCATGCACCTTCTTCATTATTTAAAACCATGAAGAGCTGCAAGAACATGATGGCTTATTGAGGAGCAAGTCAGAGTATTGACCCACCTTCTGAGTACTGTCTATACTGATCATGAGCAGCTGTCCAGGATTTTAGACAGCATTTTCTCCCAGCCCTATCTGGAGATACCAGGGATTGAAACTGAGAAAGGAATTCAGCTAAGTTACAGTCCCTTAGTAGTGTATTAGTTGTGCAAGAAAAGGTCCAGGAAGCCAGTGTAGTTTTTGTGGCGGGTTGCACAACAGATCGTATGCCTTCCAACATTTCAGCTTTGGATCCGGGACATGGGCGCAAGTCAAATTGCTGGGGATGGAAGCAGTGGAGAGAAGGAGCAGTGTTGGCCCAGTGCTACCAGGTCATAACGCCAATTCTGGCTCAGGCTTGAGCCAGAGGTCGAAGTGGCAAAGAGGAAAAATGGCGGCCATTCTGCGCCTCTCCTCCTCTGGGCTCTGGCACATGAGGGGGCAGCGGAGGCCATAACTTCCTCAGCGCCAGCCTGGGGTGGGGTGGGGGAGCCGCTGTTGAACAGTTGAGGGCAGAGAGCACCCTGAGCCCCTTTGCTTCCTGTTCCCTCTGTGGTGGCGGCCACTCACGCCCCTGCTGTCCACAAGACCCACTCTTTTTCTGTGCACTGCCACCACTTTTTCGCTGAGCTCGCAGTTCCCCAGGGCCTTGTGTTCTGTGCACTCCAGCAGTGCTGGGGCTGGGCAAGGTGAAGCAGATGGCTGTCCTCGCTTCCTCACTCCACCATCCCATCCCATCAATGTTTCTCTGCTCCCCGCCATGCACTCTGATTGGAGGAGAGTCCAGCTTCTCCCAGCAACCACTGAGGCCACCTTCTTTCATTGCAAGAAGAAGAACAGAAAGTTGCACTCCTCAGCGGCAGCTGCCCAAGGGAGGACACATGGATCCCAGGACATTCCGGAGTCCAATCGGAGAGCAGGATGACTTATTTAAATCCATGATGTTCCGCTCAAACTGGGACAGTTGCTTGATATGAGATTGTTATAGCCCTAATGCTTCCTGTTGCTCAACCTGTTGCACAACAAGCTTCCTCTCGTGCAACTGTTGCACTGGATTTCATATCATGCAACCATTATTCTTGTCCTTACACTAACACAACAGTGCTAGTGCTGGTGGTCAGAGAATGCTGAATCTGGTCCTGGGTATGTTTTGCATGCCATGTGTGTGCCCTACTACTGGAAGGGGAGCCATATCCAAAGAAAAGTAGTTTAGAAAGAGTCCTTCAAAAAGATAATTTCCATTTGGCCCAAGTATATCAACTCAAGCTGCCTTCCTAATGACGCACAGTACTTTTGCAATGCAATGCATGGTAATCACTAACTGTACTATTTGAAAGAGAAAGGTAATGTACAGGATCAAAACAATGATTTTGGAGCCTACTGTGAACCCATTATATTGAGATAATGACCCTGCCATTCAACAGTAACGGAAATGAAACTGTGATTATGCTCTTATGGACAATGTTATCCTATGCATATGGACTGGGAAAGTAGTGATGATAAATATGAATATATTAGACTAGATCAAGTGTGCAAAAAATGAACAAAGGATGGAATTTCAGATGAAAGATCTGGTGCGCAAACACTTTAGTTAACAAGGTAAGAATTAATTATATCAGGAATAGCTAGATCACAAAATATGTGTACTTTGTTTCTGAAACATTAAAGCATCAGTACTAAATAATGACTTTAGTTAGTGAGAGAACCATTTATAATCCTTATTCAAGCCTTAAGAAACACTCAAAAGTTTAGTAATCAGTACCCATGTTATCCTCTTATTCCCAGTTTAAAGGGGGGAAGAAATGTCACAGATGCAATGTCTTGGAAGATTCAACAATCCCCTTTATTTTTTTGTATGATTCTATTTTTAATGTCCAGATTGTGTCCATTCACTTATTTGCACAGAGGTTGTCTGCTTTGTCTGCCTTGTATAAACTGCTGAAAAGCATATCAGAAGAACATATCAGAAAATATGCAAGTAAACAAACCATTGCAATTGTGTTACCTTTTATTAGATCCTGTAATAGGGTTTCCAGATCCTGAGTGGGATCCAAAGGTCACTCTCTGCTAGCAGAATTCCTGCAAAAGGCTGTGGAGAGACTGACCAGATGTTACATTGAGAAGCCAAGTTTCAAGTGGGAGATAACTTTTCTTTATAGGTGTGTGGGTGGGTGTGAAAGAGAGAGAGGGGGGGGAGCCTTAGCTACCTCCCCAGCCTGTGCTGGTAAGCAAGGACGATATCATTGCTTATCCATTGTTTAGTATTAAAGAAGGTTGACAAAAATCATAAATAAGTTACTCTTTTGCCATTTGAGAGTTTGCTTCATGAGCCTGTTGCTGTTCTGACATATCTCAGCAAGGTCAGCAAGTGGGTTGCATATCTCCCTAGGCATTTTATCTCACTTCAGAAAGGACACAGACCATAAATCATCCTGAAAACCTTGCCTTCTCATTTTTCCCTTTAGGGTGCTGTTCTGCCAACTGCCCTGACATTTGTATAATAACCAAGCATTTATTTATTTTTTGGAAGTGATCCCTGGAGTGTTAGTCTTCCTACAACTCAGGGTCATGGCCGAAAAAAAAGGGAAAGGAAAGAGAAAGTGCTGGTTTTATTTATTTATTTATATTTTTGCATATGCAGATGTGGTTCAGACAGTGAACGGTTATGCAGGGGGCATAAATATTCTACCAAGAGAGAGGTCAATAGGAGATGAATCTGCTCAAACTCCTTCAATTAAGTTGTCGCTGTGGCTCAAGTGGTTATTTTTTGCAGGATATATTTTCATAACTCTAAAATTATAGTTATCTAAATAAGCTAACAGCAGAGTGAACTGTCCACTCCAGTGCAAAGCGTAATGTGGGTTTTTGCTTCAGAAGCAGAGACTCTGCTTCATACTTTATTTTTTCCAGTGTGCACGTTCTAGTTCAAAGTAAAGGGCCAAGAATGATATTCATCACATAGACATTATTTTGTTCCTTCTCTTTCATTAACAGAAACCTTCAGAGACAGGAAAGGAGAGAAGTTTTACCCACAATCCATCTTCTCATTGAACTGATAATTCCTCCTTACAACACCGAAGCTGGTGGGTTCGCGACACTTTCTCCAAACCACCTGGCCTCCTTGTCCCTCGTCACTTTCTCATCTTGCCGTGATGACATTATCTGTTCTACTGCCCAGTCAAAAAAATAAACCCAAAATGAGACAGAATGGAGAACAACGGAGGAGCGAAACTGCATCACAGCACTGCTATACCTTCAAACACATTATCTCTGGCCTCTTCTTAAAGGACAAGTGAAGGAGTGGTGCAATGGAAGCATCTCTCTCTCTCTCTCTCTCTCTCTCACACACACACACACACACACACACACACACACACACACACAAACAGCCCATTCTGGTCCTTAGAGTGAGTAGGCTGCTGTTTCCTCTGCAGTAAGTCAGTGACAGGGGATGTGTGGCCCTCCAGATGTCGATGGACTACAACTCATCCCAGACTGCTGGCCGCCATGCTGGCTGGGGCTGATGGGAGTTGGAGTCCAAATAATCTGGTGAGCCTCTGGTTCCCCATACCTACAGTAAATTAATGTGGAGGGCAACAGGGGGCACTGCTGAATATCAGTCTTTTCCTAGAATGTAATATTTTCTCCATAAACCAGCTAACGACAAGTTTGCAAAATAAAGTGTGAACATCAGCACTCATGGTCTTCCACAGCAGATAGATGAAAACATCCATGCATTTTATCACCACTGCCAGTTGATATGTACATTTGCATCACAAAAATTTAAGAAGCATAAAAAAGGGAAGGTTCAAGAATTCACAAAAGTTCATTATTTTAATGCAAATATGTTCATTATTTTATTATATTTGAGTGGCCATTTTTTATAATCTTGTTCAAAAAGGAAATATGAATACAATTATTCTGGGTAACCTCAGAACCGGACATCATTAAAAGGTCACTATTCCACCTCATTGCTAAAGTATTGACACGTTTAATGACAAAATGCCCCCAATTTTTATTGCTTGAGCTGTCTCATACTGAAATGTTGGAAAATATTCTGTGGCCTGCTGCCCAAGTCCTTCATGCAACAAAAAGAATTAAAATAAAAATTAGATGTAATGAAGTCTTGTGAATGAACTTTGAGGTTGTATATTAAATTTTAATTACTTTTTTTCTGAAATGTAGCCAAATGATTCAGAATTAATGTTGCAGTGAGGTATCACTTACCTTAACCTCACCCAAGGGGGCAATTGGAATATGTACAAAATGTTACCAACATGGTTAACGTACACCTTTTGTCGTCTTGATTATTTCTTTGTATTTTCATAGACAGATGTTCTCTGTATCTTGAGAGGTAACATTACTGTAAAATAAGAATAATCATTTTTGCCATTATCATACATCAGCCAAATTAACAGTGAAATCTTATGCATGTCTACCTAGAAGTAATTTCCATTGTGATCAGTGAAATCCCAGACTGTGATGAGATTGAAGCAACTTTTCTTTTAAATACATATTTTGTATAAAAGCTTTTAAAACTTTATATCAATATTAAAGAGCTAATTGTGTACTCTTTGCCTCCACACCTATGGCATAATAAAGTAACTGGAATGGAGCCCCTAAAATATTCAAAAGTGATTTGTAAGTGGGCAGGAAGTGTTAGTTTTCCTGAGGATATATTAGACTTTTGTGAAGCTGCAAATACATGAAAATAAATATTTTGGTAGCCATATTAGTAGTTCCTTTATATGTTTGTGTTATTTTGTTCACTCTGTCTTGTAAACCTGCTGTGCAGTTAGGCTGAAAAATGTGCATCTACTAATTTATAACATCTGTCAAGGTATTGTATTTCTTTTTTTTTTTTCCTTTCCTTCTTGACTAAGTGTTTGTTCCAAAGGTGCCTTTCCACTCCTGGAAAGAGTCTTCCATTCACAAAAAGTCAGGTTTTAGACCCAAAGCCCTGCCAATCTCTCAATGGACTTGATCCTCAGACCCTTCCACTACAACAGCTTGTGGCAGGCATAGCAAAATAGCCACATCTTTCAGCCACTTCAGTCCCACAGTAGGCTTGCCCATTGATGAATGATGTTCTGCAACTTCTTGGGAACTGCTCTAGAACCTTCCTCGTAGTGCTATGTCAACAAAGTGTTTGCAGAATGGCACCAATAGTTATTTTTGTTCCAGTCTATGTTCTTCAGATCCAAACCTGTAGCTTGGGTCCAAAGCTATATTTCTCAGATGTCAAAGCCAACCTCCAGTTGTAGTCTTTAGGCAAAGGGAGGGACTTCCGGGGTGGCGCCATCTGCAATGGCGGACTCCCTCTGAACTGGAGGGACAAGCTCAGCGCGAAACGGGTCTTATCCGCTACGGCGAAGCGGGGACCCTTCAAAAATCACAGGCGGATGAAGCCTGTGACCATGGGACTCGGCGGGCACCTTTAGCGCCCCCCCAACCCACAAAGGAACCCATTAACGGGCTCCGAAGCGAAGAGGGGGAAGCGGCGTGGTGCTGTGAGTCAACTGCTATTTCCGCTGGAGCGAAGCCGCATAGCCGTTGCCGGAGAGCGCTGCCTTCTTCTTGGGACAATTTGGCTTCTAAAATAATCACCTGTGAGTACTTAAACCTGGAATAATTGTACTTTAAATAAGGACTTGCAAGCAGAAAGAAATCGGTCTTAAAAAGAATTTATTTCAATTTGGTACTGAGACGGGAAGGTCTAAACAGGAAGTCAGCCTTCCGTTTCTTTGTAGTCTGAATAAAGCAAAGACAACATAAACTAGAGCTCAGAAAATCATTTATAAAGGATTGGCTTTCATCATCTAAAGTTGTTGAACTTTATTTTGGTAGCAGGAGAACCTGCAGAAGTGAATTTAAAGTAAAATAACTTTCCATCGTCCTGATCCTGGAGCGGGGTGTCAGAACTGACGTTTGAAGCTCATTGACCAGAAACAAAAACATTTTGACAGATAGCTAAAAGAAGAGAAACATAGTGATTTCATTGTTTCCTTTCGCATTTCAAAGGGACAAATACTGGCAAAATATCTCAAAAGAAAAAGAAACATTGTTGTTAGACCTGTTCTCAAAAGAAAGAACAAATAGAAGGCTTCCCCCTAGAGGGAGACTGTGAAACTGTAACTAATTTCAGGGAGCTGACAGCTGTCACAGATTACAATCGTGGGAACAAACTGGTGACCTTGCAGGACAATGTACTCAGAAGCTCTGCTGTGTGCCTTTTATAAAACAAATGCCCTACTGGAACAATTACATGAGGAGACGAATCTGACTCTGTTAGAAATTTTAAACAGGCAGTGGGAAATCTTAAACAGGCAGTGGGAAATTTTGACCATGCAGTGGGAAAGTATATGGAACCTACCCAGGAATTAAATCAGGAGTGTGTCCTGACAGAACAGATGAGAGAAGAGGATGCTGCTGAACCCTGGGCGCCAGAGTTGGAGGGAGCTGCGGAACATGAGCTTTTGGACTTGACAAATGAACTTGGGAAAAACCAGACTTGGGAAGATAAAGTTTGGCTTGGAAATGGGGGGTTGGATTGATGCAGGGATATTTGGACTTCCCGAGCCTGGCAATGGGCTGTGAGAGGTTTGGAGCTGTGGGGGCTTTCAATTTTGGAAGGATCTTGAAACATGTTTTTAAACATCATATGGAGTTGAGTTTCGACTATAAAAAAGGGGCAGATTTATTGAAAAGGGTCAAAAACATTACTAAGCTGGAGTTCCCACGAATGAAAGGAGAATATGAAGAAGAGCTGCGGAAGGGACGTGGAAGAGACTTAAGGGCCTCGGATATAAGGTTACCAGGTTAATGCGCCAGATCAATGGGACAAAAAGGACTGACAAAACCCGGGACCAGGAGAAAGGGACGCTGGAAGATTGGATTGTTTTTATCTTGTTTTTGTTTTGTTACTAAGATTGTTTTATAAAATTTATGAATGTTAGAAGGATGTTGAAATGAAATTGCATGGCCCTAGCAAAAATGTTTAAAGAATTAGGAAAGAATATTATGGTTATTAGAAGTTGGTAAGAATAAGACTTAAGTTGTAAGTTTGAAGGTTGTTTACAAGACAAGATGATATTAGATTAAGGTGACATTATTTTAAGATTAAAGATTAGGATAAACAAAGAGGGGAAGGATTTGCTGAACTAACAAATTGAACTGGAATACAAAAAGGGAGGGGGGAGGAGGTCAGAGAAACAAGCAAATGAAAGAAAGTGATGGAAAGATGGAATTGTCTTTTTTTTAACTATTTTTATTTTGTATTTTGTATTTTGTATTGTATTTTTCTTTTTCTTTTTTTTCTTTTTTCATTTTGTAAAATTCTAATAAATATCTTTTAAAAAAAAAAGGGGGAGTCCCCCTTTTAACATTCCAGTAGCTCAAGACCTGGTCCCAACTGTTCAAATTGTCTGTGTTCTTTGCTCAGTCAGTAGAGCATAAGACTCTTAATCTCAGAGCCATGAGTTCAAGCCTCATGTTGGGCAAAAGATCCCTGCATTGCGGGGGGTGGGGGGTGGGCTAGATCACGCTCATAGTCCTTCCAATTCCACGATTCTGTGAATGGGCATAGATCTTCCAAGGGTAAATCCCATTCACCTCTTGTTGTGGCTGATGTGCTCAAAAATATACATCCTGTAAGGAAAATATTAAAGCCCAAACTGTTCTAGGTGATGGAGCACTGAAGATGGGGAAGGAATTGCCTTTCTTGTTTTCCCAATTTAAGTAAACCTTGTAAAGCTCTCAAGTGGAATGACAGAAAAGCAGTCAATGTTGGTAGATTATTTTCTTAAAAATTGTTAGAAGCAACCGCAATAACAAAAGTTTTAAGAATAAAGGATGTTGTGTGGAACCTTTGCTATTATAGAGGCCATGGGCATTATCTAATCAAGAGTATTAATGTGGGGGTGGGGAAGAGAAACAGTCTTCAGACTTATTTTAGGGTTCAAAGATCTGTCAAAGATCACTTTATTGAAAAGCAATATATTGCTTGAGAGAAAAATTCAACAGAGTGTCTCGCTGCTAGGCTGATTGCCCTGATCAAACAGGTTTCACGCAAGTTATAGTGCTGCATGGTCCGTTTAAGCAGCTATAGATAAGGAATTTAGTCAGGCTGTTACTCAGCTTATCATCTTCAACTAACCTTGTGGTTTTCTTCCTTCAGTTACATTCCAAGAATTTGCTTGCAATAACAAGTTCCAGCAACATCTCTTTTCCTTTGCTTGCTCAGGCACAGTAAGCCTGCCACTAGTGCCTTGCATACGTGATAAAGAAACAGAGGGCTACATTCTTGGATCAAATCAGGCCACAACTTTATTGATCACAGATCTAAGTACATTTGGCTCAGGCATTGCGTGATTTCCCATTCAGTCAGCTTACCTGCTGCCTGCTGATCAGATGATCAATTCTGGGATAGGAGTACCCTATGACTTACATCAAGTAGGAACAGCCCATCAGAATTGCCACCTTGTGGGTGTGCTACAGCCCTTAGCCCCCATCCAGGCTTGTGGATGAAAACACCTCCCCTAGGATTCCTTTAATCAATGGGATAACCCAATTTTCTGGAAGGGGAAGGCAAAGCCATACAACTCCCCACTTCCAGTAAATTTGGATCGTAGCCAATGCCTTAACCACCGGAGTTGTGACAATTGCTGTGAAGGAGGCAGAAACCTCCAGACCAGCCATTTTGCCTAGACATAAAATTCCTTCCTGGCCCTGAAAACAGCAAATGATAATTCCTTTGTAAAGTCTTAGTGAAACAACAACCTATGGAAATAAGTGCATGGGGGCAGGAGACCAAAAGCTCACTGTAGTGCAGGGCGTGGAGGTGGGTCCTTTTTATGCCAGGAGAGTGGACCCAAGTTTCCTGTTGGTCTCGCCCTCCTGGTGACACCTCCTAGTGCCCGCCTGTGATTGGTCAATATCACAGCTGGCCAATTTAAATTCCTACAGCTGGAGGGAGCACAACAGCTCCATGTGGCCGTTAGAAAAAAATCCAAAGAGGCCTAACAGTGGCAGCAAGCCACGTGGCACCACAGCTGCCACCCACAATCTGGTGAATGGAACTTGTCTTGTACGCATTCAGTTCCCCTCAATTCCATTCATCACGTGTCAGGGACTTTAAGCAGAAAGATTTGAGGCTTGGGATCTTTTAAAAAAGGTAAAGTACAATTAAATCCAGTCATGAACGACTCGGGGGTTGTGGCGCTCATCTCACTTTACTGGCCGAGGGAGCTGACGTTTGTCTGTAGACAGTTTTTCTGGGTCATGTGGCCAGCATGACTAAGCCGCTTCTGGCGAAACCAGAGCAGCGCACAGAAATGGATCTTTTACTCCTATACTATCCTGATGACACAACCACCTTGCACACAGCAGTCCAGCACCAATGAAGTTACTAGCTGGAGGAACAATCACAGCACCACAAATGAATTTACCAGTTAGTCTCTGAACATGATGTAAGCTGATAGTTTTGACCATGGTCCAAGTACATTTAAATAAACCTACCACAATCTGAAATCAACTATTACTTAGAGTAGACCAATTGAAATCAATGAGCCTAAGTTGGTTATGCCTATTCATTCCAATGGGCCTACATTGAGAATAACTAACGATGGATAAAACCCCAAGCTTTTCTGAAAGGTTATTTCTAAGGAATACTTTTCCTAAGGCAGCCTGCCAACCAATTCTTTTTCAGTGTTTGCAAAGCCAATGTGTTAATTT